GCGAGTACAGGCGCTCTGCTGCTTCCAGGTGCTTCCAGGAATAGCAGAGCTGCTAATGGCGCTGGCTGGCAATGTGGCCCGTAATGCCTGTTGATGGAAAACACAGCCGGCCAATTACAGCGCCCATATCAAATCACCGGGGTCAGGGGTCAACTCCCATCCACCATCTGTCTTCATTTGACGTCCCTGTCATTAGCTGTTGCCTCATCACTGGAGTGAGTTCAATAGATCTCAGCGTACAGTCGGAAGGCGAAGAGATTGTGTTGTGAAGCATGTTTGACACACACACACACACATACATTTAAATGCTGGATGTAGAATGGTGATGTAATAAAGCGCAGCTGACATTCAGACATACACAGAAATACACACTGATTCAAATACTGATCTGGGTGAAGTGATGTAAAGTGGCTGGCAGGACAGGTCTGCTCAGACAGCAGCTTTATGGGAGGAAGATCATATTCCTGCAAAGCCCAAACCTTCTGCTGTCTCCTCTCACAGGACAGAGGACGCAACCTCTAACATGTGAGTTACCAGGGTGTCCCTATATTCTTAATTGGTCTAATATGTGCATTGTGCAATATATATTGATATATATAATGTATACTGCACTGTTCATTTTTAAAATAATCTTGTCCAAGTGCATCTAATTACAGGTCAGATGAACCCTATGGAATTCAAACCCATAGTGCTGGTGCCATCACAACACAGCCCTATCTTATTTTGTGTGTGTGAGTGAGCGTGTATGTGAGTCTGAGCACATGCAGCTGAGAAAACAGAGAAAGTGTCAGTTACTCCTGCATTAAAGGAAAGTCTCACCCAATGCAGAAAGTCAGTCAGAGAGCTAATTCTATACTCACGATAAAAGTGAATGTAGAAATGTCATGCACTCACAGTAAAACAGCTGGAACAGAACAAGTTTGGCTAAGTTCTCTGGGGACTGTCTAAATGCATCCTGGGATATGTAGGAAATAACTATCTAATTACAACCCGTCATTGAAACAGATAAGTCCAAAACAAGGATGAGAATTCCTTAAGAGTACTTGGAAATAGAGACGCATCTTTGTGAGGCTCCAAGGCTATTTTATTAGAAGACCACAATGTAAACTCCACATGTACTTGAACAGTGGACAACCAGTTAACAGACTTAATACCATGGTAGGAAAATCACAGAAAACAGCTCAGCACACTCCAGCAACATCGCAAACACCAGGGCCTACTTCAAAAGCTAATACTAGCTCAACTGCTGCCAACAAAGACGCCAGGACGGAGGCAATGGGAGAGGACGGGACGGGTGTTGAAGTCCTCAGTACTACATGCTCAATGCAAAGCGACTTCTCAAAAAAGCTTGAGGATGTGCTGGTGGGAATAAGTGGACTCGAGGGTGATTCACTGATGAAGACCATTTGTTATGATCAAAAATCTCCAGAATAATTCCTAAATAATTCCATTTTATTAGAACTTGGTTCAAATGATCTGGTTTAGCTGCACTACGACCTGTCTGATGGTCTGACTGGTCATGTCTCTTGCCCACTCAGACTTACAAGTGATGTTGCCATGTTCCCAGATCTCCAGAACAATTTATTTGTAAATCCAACATTATCATAACTAATGGGAATGATGGCCAAAGCTAAAAAAATACGTCCCAAGAGTTATCATTTAATGTCATCAAGGATTCAAAAAGGTGCTGGAGCATCATTTATATAAAGGCAGTCTGTCTTGTTATGAGCAGTGGAGCGCATGGTACATGGGAAAAGATTAGAGGATTACAGTGTGTACGTGTGTGTGTGTGTGTGTGTGTAAATAAATGTGTGTGAGCTAGGATTCTGCATAAGAGAAGGGGGGGCGGCAATATCTGTGCAGCCAACGGAGCTCCAGCTGTGGTGTGCTCTGAGGCAGAAGTGAATGGAGGTGTGAACACGCAGCCAGGTGCTGCCCCCGTCTCACCCTAACACCCTTGCTCAGTCCACTTCCTCCCCGTTAATTAGGAGGACCTGTGGGGGTGGAGAGGGGGGAGGGTGATGGTTGTGGTGAGGGGGAGTATGGAGGGCGAGTGCATGCGGGGGTTGTGAAACAGCTGTCTAAGCGGCCGTTACATCAGAGGCCCAGTTCTTGCACCCGGATCTTTCCAGACTCAGTCTAGATGTGTTTAAGATGGTTCACACCTGACGTAAGAGTGTGTCGCTCTAACTTTGTATCTACATTTATTAGCACACGTGCTTTACAGTCAAGGTGAAATGAAAAATGCCTTTTTAACCCTTTAAGATCACATCCCCCAGTCACATTGTACTCCTATTTAACAATGCATTTCAAAAAATGCACAAAAAATCTTTCTTTGTACCATTATATCAAAATCTAATAATTTTTTCTTCCTGTAAAACAAAATGTGACGCATGCTTACATAAGTGTGAACCAACTAATTTCAACCAACAATATCATAACATCCATCTGTCAATCAGTCTTCAACTTTTAGCATTACACAGCTAAGTATGGGAATTCCGGCTCTTTTTAGAGA